GACGTAGGAAATTGAAAGTTTGTGACGATAGGTTTTGAAATATGCCGAACATTTTAAAATGCCAAAAAAAGTTTTTCATCCAAAGATCTAATTTTCCCTTTTTTTCTGTAATTTTCGAGCGTCGCCCCTTTTTTCTAACTACTCTCACATTTTTCAAAATATAAGCCTCGCCCCTTTTCCCAATCTCTCTACCACTATGGAACTTCAAAGTGACGTATCTCAGCTACTAGGAGACGTAAAAAGCTGAAAATTTGTGAGAATACTAATTGAAAAATGGCAAAAGGAAATGTGTCAAAATTATGAAGAAAAGGGAAAACAAAATTTTTGTGGATAATCTGAAAATTCTGTATTTTCTAAAAATTTTTATTTCAAAATATTTGGCATGTTTCAAAACATATCCCCTCTACATTCCAGCTTTCTAGACCTCCTGGGATCTGAGGTACGGCGCTTTGAAGTTTGAACAGACGAGAGAGAGTGAGAGGCCGCAAACGACGAGAGTGCCTGCGCCCTCCCCTTTCGCACACTCTCTAGCGCTGTGAACCTGTATCTCAGCTCCTATATAGGCTATAAGACATAGAAAGCTGAAAATTATAGGTTTTGAAACCTCCCCTTTTCGCACACTCTCTAGCGCCGTGACACTTCAAAGTGACGTATCTCAGCTCCTAGGAGACGTAGGAAATTGAAAGTTTGTGACGATAGGTTTTGAAATATGCCGAACATTTTAAAATGCCAAAAAAAGTTTTTCATCCAAAGATCTAATTTTCCCTTTTTTTCTGTAATTTTCGAGCGTCGCCCCTTTTTTCTAACTACTCTCACATTTTTCAAAATATAAGCCTCGCCCCTTTTCCCAATGAATCGATTTTTCGTAATAATTTATTTGTTGAAACACAATAAAATGTTTATTTGGGAAAATCTAAAGTACAGTAATCCAGTTACGGTTGCACTAAAGTCCTGGTGAACATAGTGATACCATTTCCAGGTGAATTATTTTCAGTTTTCGAGAAGAAACCTGAAAAATCTTTTTCAAAAAAAATTTTTTCTCAAAATTCTCACAAAATACAGTAATCCGAAACTCTTTGATGCAAAAAAGTGCGATAAGTGGTTCCAGGGACGGGTAAACAGCCAAACTCGCTCCAACGAGATTTGCAGCTCGACCAACGGAAATTTCGAAAAATGGAATTGCAATAAGCAGGCCAACAGGGCAATACATCATGATAAATGGTAGTAAAGTCTGGAATTTTTGAGATTTTTGGCTGAAAATTGGCTGGAAATAATGGTCCCAAGGGCCCCATAGACTCAAGGACCCATGAACTCCAAGAACCCCATGAACCCCATGAACCCCATTAACCCCATGAACCCCATGAACCCCATGAACCCCATGAACCCCATGAACCCCATGAACCCCATGAACCCCATGAACCCCATGAACCCCATGAACCCCATGAACCCCATGAACCCCATGAACCTCATGAACCCCATGAACCCCATGAACCCCATGGAACACATGGACCTCATGGAACTCATGGGTCGCATGGAACCCATGGACCTCATTGAACACCATAGATCCCGTGGTCCCCCATACACCCCATGGAACCCATACACGGCGAAAAATGACCCAAAAA